ATAATGGGTGAAAAAAAGGCATGAGGGGGTGGGGCATCTCAATCAAGATTGAAACGAAACTGATAAAGCAGCGTATGGACTGGAGAACAAATCAAAAGCATGTTTATCCACCGAAGGAACCGGCTGATGGAGACTGCCAGCACGTTGCCATGGAAACACTGACTGTTGCGCCGCACCATTTCATACCTTATCCAATACATTCCTGGTTGTTGGTGGTAGTCCAAAGACCCTGATCTCTTGATGGTAAACCCGTGGTCCAGCTGAGCAGAGAGAAACGGGGGCAACTCAGTGGATCGACATTGTGCTAAAGAGTTAAGACTCCACACCAAGCTGTTCTCCGCGGACTGTGTGCGGAAAGGCGGTTACGGTGCCTCTTCTGCGGGGCGCCTAGCTAAGAGGCTACGTCTGCACATTGAAAAGAGAAAGGCGAGAAAAGACACTAATCCCTCCTGAATGCTCAAGGGCCACTTGTTAGGAAGAAAATCTAATATGTCCAGTAAGTTTTTGAATGTACATTTCGCAATACCCTCTCAGTTTCAAACGACACAAATGCCTCTGCATCGTCTATGGAATGGAAAATGGTGACAATGAAATCAAGTACTGACATCAGCTTGAGCCACTGACGGGAAAGCAGACTGGACGGACCCCCGAAAACCTCAGCCCATCGGGCTTCAACTGGAGGGCTTTGTAAACATGCAATAAAAGGCAAAAGGAATCAGGTTTGGCGCCCCCATAACCATAGCTACTTGGTTTTCCTCTTTGAAGAGTTGATCTTTAGAAGCAGAACTACGCTTTCAAAAAAATCTATTATGTGTCTGCACTGAAAAGCTAGGATATGAAACAGTAATTTTGTCTGGGAAAATGTTGAGAAGAAAAGGAGAATAGTTTTCACTGCATATTAAAAATGCATATTGCAGGTAAGGGCTCGTGGTCCCCGGAAGGGGCGGGCACCGGCAGGCAGGGTGTGCTCTCCGAGGGGTTTCTCCTGGAGTGGGGTGCTCGCCTCGCAGGGAGAGGAGACTTGGCCCCCCTGTTTGAAAAGCAGCCATCACGCTGCATGGCCAGACACCCAACACCGCTCGGAGGGGTTGGTATTCTGATTACAAATCAGGCTCTCCCAGCGTCCACCAAACAGCAGTGTGGGACTTCTGTCTTGCTGAACGCGCACGTTTTATTTTATTGAGAAGAAAAATGGAAGTACGCGTGGTGTTTGGGGAGGGGGGCACATCTCAGTCCACCCCGGCGGCCCCTGCGTACCTAGCTCTCTGCTGCCACCTACAGGCGGCATGGCCCGCGCCAAGGTCGCTCCGGAAGGAGCTTCCCAGAACCACAATTACTTGCACACTGATTAGTATGGATTTGTTCCATTAGACTGAAATGCTCTGTTTGCATGAGCAAAATGCAAAAGAAGGACTTTAAAGCATTTTGAAAGTTATTGGTTAAAATAATAAACAGCATTAAATGAGGAAAAATAAATTGGAACTGACATCTCAGTCATCGGTTCTTCATCAAGCTGGGCAAATCTAATAAAGCCCCCTCCCCTCCCTTAGCTCTCAAGAAGTCCACCGTTAAGATGTCATCTCTAATTCCATTTTATGTCTATAAATTGCATTTTAATAACCTTTTGTTTCCCCTTCTCTGTTCTGCTTTTTTTTAATCCCCCAACTACTGGCAAAGGTAGCAGAGACACAAAGGAGCCTTTCTGAGAGCCAGCGTTGCACTTGGAAACACAGCGATGGGCCTCCCACCCCTCCTGCCGTCTGACCTGCGAGTCAGAACACCTCGTCTGCCGTGAGCCTCCAGCTGGTAACTGCTCTCCCCACCGACTCACGGACCTCTTCCACCGTCATATAAAGTCATCACCTGCCCTTGCTTTGGTCTTAATAATGGAGGGGGTGGGGGGCAGCGGAGAAGGAATGCCCAGCAAGAAAAGCACTCAGGCTCAGCACCACGAGTGCGTGTCCAGCTACGCTCCTGTCGTCGGCCACACCCATGTCTCCAGTCTGTTTGCTGTGGCAGGTGGCTCTTTTTCCCTTTGTCACTGGTGACGTGAAAGAGAAAGTGTCATAAATTCCTTTCTAAGCATCATTAATCTCCAGCAGGTAGTTAGTCCCAGTTTAAGCCCAACAACTGAATCGTTGGTTTCCTGACAAGAGGATAGAGACTACGTTCTAAATAGTTTTTTTTTTTTTTAATGTGAAAGGGTGTGTGCCATTTCCAAAGCCCTCCGTCCCAGGATGGAGGCGGTTGAAAATAAAGTACGGTAGTTGATACGGCTTCTGGGAGGGCATTCGTGGCTCTGAAGGGAGAATCTGTCTGCAAGAGATTTATGCTGACACCAGTCTTCTCTGTGTCTATCAAACAGAGGCCACTCCAGTACTGCATTAATTATTACAGGAATTTCTACCATGGGGGTGAATTAATAATCCCACGGCATTGTGAAATTGTCAAACGGTCTTTACGGATGCAGCATTAACGAGGCTTGTTTCTCCCACCTACCACTTAGATTCTGCCTCCCAGCCAAATAGCATTCCTCTGTAGTTGAACTTGAATGGGACTTGAAATTTCACTTAATTCCAAGGCTGCATTTTCTGGTGGCAGTCCCCTGGGGCTTTGTTTTTGCACTCTACGAATGGGAGCATTGCCACAGAATACAAACTGGCTTCACCAGTACTATGCCAAGAGTTAATAACAAAGGCTGGCCGGTTCCTGACCCCCCAACCCCACCCTGGGCCTTGGGGGTGGGACCCCAGGATCTCTGGAGGGTGTGGACATTCCTGGGGGGAAAGTGTCTGGAGAAGGCGTGTAAGGGCAAATCTGACCACAGTGTAGTGTCTCCAGAAACAGCTCTGAAATTTAGAGACTCTCTCCTCCGTGACTGAAACAGTAACGCTGACAGTGAGCATGTGGACTGCTCTCCAGAGGCTCTTCAAGGCTCTTTCAGAAACTTCTCCACAAAGTTCATTATTCTGAGCCTCCCTCAGGTCAGTCATTATTTTTTTTTTAAAAAATTGTAGTGGATAAAGAAGATCAAGCATGCAACTAATGCGTAACTCAGCGTCACAAAGCCCATTTTACAATTTATAAGTCTATTACCACTTTGTACAGTTTCCATGGAAACGTGTTAGCGATGGTCTCAGAAACTGCATTGGAAATGGCCCAATCGTGCTATTTAGGGAAAATCAAATCAGTGGCCCTTTGATCTTCAAATACTAACTGGAGTCTTTGAAATCTGCGTAGACGAGGTTTTTTTTTTATTTATTTATTTTTACTGATAAACTAGTGCGGGTTAGGTTTCGGAGTTTACCCGGGTGGCACTCGAGTCAGCTTTCCCCTCATATCTGAGTCCCCCATCCACTGGGAAGCCTCCCTGATGTCCCCGCCCTTGGTCACCATGAGGCGCCCAGAGCACCACGAACAAACCATCGCCGAGCAGCCGCGGCAAATTTAACCGAAGGCCAATTAAAGTTTTTTTTTTAAACCATGAAAAACAAAAACCCAGCACCAGCGGTGGGGAAAGCAGCCTCCCTGGCGCTGGGAGCCCCGAGTGGGGCAGAAAATCAGCCCGTTTCACGGACAAGCATGCTGGCAGCCGTTCCATAGGAAACCGTGGCGTCCGAGGTTTGGGAACAGACATGTCTCTCGGATGAATGATGAAAACAGAGTGTCTGGTGGGGTTGCGAATCACCACGGGACAGTGACTTTCAAAAATTACTGCTTGAGGATGAGCTGGTAACAAAGAACACTGATGATCTAGGAGGACAATGGGCTTCTGCACGGAGCTTCCTGAGGAAGGACTGGAGAGAGGGGCCGGGAGGACGGCTGGCCACGCGAGACCCTCGGCAGCCCTGACACTCGGGGATGTGCCCTGTTTGCCGAGCGCACGCAGGAGCCGGCACAGGGGCAGCGCCTTGTGACTCACTGTTGGGGGGTTCCCTCAAAACACAAGAAGTGCAAACCGTACGAGGAAGTGCCCGCCTGCCACCTGCACCCTCTGGACGCCCGACAAATATCCCGGCCCCAGACCTGGGCCTGCTTGTCTCGAATCTGTCACTCACGTATGTTCAGCTCTATCTGCAGCTCCAGCACCACCAAAAAAGTGGAAAAATAAAAACACCGTAAAGTAGCTGAATTACTTAGTACCGCTGGTGAGCACGAAGTAGAAGTACTTTAGCAGCACAATACTTTTCAACATTTGACAACAGGGTGTCTAATTTCTTTGTTTAGAAAGAAAAACAGCGTGAGCGATTTCACCTTGACTACGCCTGTTAAAAAACAGGAAGTGATCGGAGACCAGTGATCTGGGACCTGAATGTGTTTACTCTAGAATATGACACCAGGAAGTACGAGGTTTCATTATCTCTCCACCCAATTTAGTCTTTGCCTAGAGCTGCTCTTAAATTGCGCGTAGTGTGTGTCTGCATGTACAGAACAGGAAAAACAAAAAACAAAACGGCTCGCACAGACGCCTCCATAAAACGGTAAATGTTTAAAAGACTTTCGACTTTTTAAAAAATGACCTTTCTAAGAAGCCAGACATCGTGATTTCTGTGGGTGCTCCCAGCAACCCGACTTCCCTGGGAATCCCTTCTGCTCTGTGTCCGCTTTCCCCTGGGTCCTGCACCCCAGCCCACAGGGTCCGGATTCTCTCTGCAAGGTCGTCTGGCTCAGCGTCCCTCCCTCGCACATCCCAGCAAGCAGACACTTTGAACTCCTCTCCACAGGGCCCAGAACTTGGCATTGGCACACAGTCCAGGGTCGGGGAGTATATATATTTTTTTAAATGCATCATGGAATTAATAGAAACTGCACGACACCCCAGAGGTGCCGGATAATGATGCGCCCTGTGGGAACTCAACAGCAAAACCCACGGGACGCGTCTCGGCCCTGAGCTGCCTGGGTGCCTTCCCCAGAAACGACCCACCCACCGTGTCTGGGGGCCGCCTCCCGAGGAAGGCTGAGAGCCAGCAGAATTGGAGGTGGGTATTTCAGATGCTTACTGCGAGGACAGAGACGCCCGCTGCGGTGCTGTTCGGTTTGGGGCCGGTGTTGAAGTGCTTCTTTATCTTCCCAGCTACCGACAGCTGATGTTCGCTCTCCGGGAGGCCGTCATCCTGGGGGTGGGGGGTGGGGAGGAAGGAGTGAAAGGAGACAAAGGGGGGAAAATGAGATACGTGGGAAATGAGGCCAAGATCTTCCAGTAACAAATAGGCAGGGATCTTAAAATTCCTGAGGCCGGGGAGATAAACCGACCGGTGTCTTCTCGTCAAACACCACTGCTGGGCACAGTGGTCCCCCTCTGCCCTAACACCAGTTTGTCGTGCTAGCTGACCCTCAGCGTTTTGTCCCTGAATAAAAAATGTTACCTCTTTTCTGTTTCTAATAAAATCATTTCCAGTCATGGTTCTAGGGATGTATGTCAAAGAGCAAGTTAATCTAGACAACCAAAAAAAAAACCAAGGTAAACACCACTTTTTTTCTGACCCAAGCGTTTTAGCCTCTCAGCCCACCATTCGGCCCGGCGGCCCGGGACTGACAGGCACGGGCTCGGCCTGGTTCTGAGCTCCTCAGCCAGCCACGCGGTCCTCCGGGACGGCCTTCCAGGCGGAAAGTTCCTCTCCAGTTTCGAGCCCTCCCCGCGGCCTTTCTGTCACCTCTGATGTGACACAGTCCCCACTGCAGCTGGCCTGAACGCAGGCCTGGGCTCTCGGGCACAGCCGACTGCAGGGCAGGCTGGAGAGATGGCCCTCCTCGCTCCGTGCCACTAGGAGGACAAGAACCCAGGTCCTAAGCACATGCCATCCCTCACTGGACCTCGGTGACACTGGTCTTCGTCTTAGCGGAGGGCTTCGGCACCTAGCAGAGGCCCAGCCGGCGTCTGTGAAAGAAGGGATGGGTGGCGAGTACGGGTTTGTCGTTCTCTCTTCAAACCCAAGCTCCGGGCAGGACTTCCCCGATATTCTTCATTTTCCTTCCCTGCTTCTCTCCTTCCTCGCTGTGGTCATTCGGCCTGAGAGCGCCTGGCTCCGCCCAGGAAGGTAAGTCGGCCGCTTTTCACACATCACGCCTGCTCTCGTGCACACCCAGGACTCTCCGCCTGGGGCCCACTCCTGCTTTCAACATCTGGCTATTCGTTTCCCCAGCCGATAGCAGTGGCGCATCTATGGTGGGCCAGGCCCTGCCGGACCAGGCAGGGGGTGGGGGTGAGCCCAGGACTCGGGGGGCGCTGCTCCCAGGCACACGGCCTGCGCTCTTTCTTCAAAGCGTGAGTCCAGGTCACCTGCTGCAAAACACTTTCCCCCAGGATGCACGGTCCACTCCAACGGTTCTCTGTAAACTCCGGACGCGCTTTCACTGGGCACGTTGGCCCTGCTTATATACTTCGGTGCCGGGTGACTCTGTACGCGTGTAACACACACACAGAACTATATATGTGAGCTCCGAACTCAGGCTGTTTTGTGCGCCGTCCTCCTCGTTGGCTGCCGTCTCTGACAGGCACCTGGCTCACTGCTCCACACACGGTGGATTGTTCATTTAGGATATTCTGGCGCCGGTGTGTCAGTGGCTAGAGTAAGGACAGGCATCCTGCTTACTGAGTCCCATCCAAACCAAATCGAGAGGAAGGGAGCTTTCCAGTGATGCACAGAGTGGATTCAAGACTTTAAAAAATCTGTATCACGGAGAGAGGTAGAAACAGGGTGACAGCCAATCAGGGCACCGTGGGGTGATGCTTGGGGAGAGTTAGACACAGGCCAGTGAAGCGGCTGCCGTATCAGGCACCGCAGGGTGGGTGAAGGACCACCAGAGACCCCCGAGAGCTAAGCGGGAGACACTGTCTGTGCATCCCCGGTCAGACCCCCAAAGTGGGTCAGCAAGACGAGATAGGCCGCCCTGGGCAGCACGGCCTCCTGGTGGGCCAGAGGCAGGGAAGGAGCTCGGAGGGCAGAGGGCCGATTCTCAGTGGTGGGCAGTCAGCGCCAGCCTCGGGCCGAACGGGGGCCTGGGTGGGGGCCTCAGTGATTGATGGGAGCACAGTGACAGGCAGAGAGCAGGGAAGGAGAGGTTTGGGTACAGGTGCGTGAGTGGAAAGCCAGAGCGTGTATCTGCCAGACTTGGGTCCACCAGTTTACCTCGGGGTCAGAGTTCATGTGGGAGAGGAAGCAGAAAGGCCAGGAAAAGACCGGCCACGAGGGAGCCCCCCAAAGACCCGGAGATTGAAGCCCCCGTCTCCTTCAGGAACATGGCGGCGCTCCCCAGTAGGAGGGGCCCACAGAGGCAAGTGTGGCGACCCCCGCCCTCTCCCCAGATGTTGCCCGGGAAGGTTTCTGGGCTCTGCTGGTGGAAGTGCCCGGGTCGTCACGAAGGGTGAGGACCACGCCGTCCAGAGCGTGAGGCTCAAGGGTGAGCTCAGTGGTGTAGACAAAACATTTCTTTTTTTCAGTGCTGGAATCTAAGGGAGAATTTGGGGAGCATTTAAACATTTGACGAGGGACGAGATGACGTGCCTTTACTGAAAAAGCCTTACAAACATTGATCTCACATACCTGGCGTGGTTTGGGGTTCTGCCCGAATGAAGGGGGGCCCAGGGGGCCCCACCCTCAAGACCACAGGGATGCTTCTGGTCACTTCTCAGTGGAGGCCACCAGAAGCCTCCTGTCCCCGAGATGTCCCCAGCCAGTTCTTGAGCCAAGAGCTGACTTTCTGCCTGCTCTCACAGGGGACTTCGTTATCACTTGCCCGCCCTGTCCTGGTTGGGGTCTCCTGCCAGGGGCCCTAACAACTCCCGTACACGTTGGGGCCCTGATGGTGGGACTGCCGGCTTTAAATTCAGGGAAGGGTTCTGCTTCCCAGGGCTGTGAGTCCTGGGGAAGCAGCCCTCCCGAGTGAGCAGTCCTCCCGAGTGGTCAGAGGTGCTTTGGGGCTCAGAAGTCTGAAGACCTTCCAGGATCAGCTCCCAATGAAATAAGGAGTCTCGGCTAGAGCAGGGGACTCGGGTGCACACTCACACACACACTCACCGCAGCGACTGCAACGTCTGCAAAGTGTGAGTACCAAGTCTGACGCCTGTGCACATAATTGGATTAAAAGCCATCGACAGCTGGCTTTGCCAGGACCTGATCTGTACCTGAAGCATGAGGATTGATGACGGAGATTTAGCTAATTTACTGTCTTGCATCAGTAAAATAAATAGGCCCATTAAAACATACATTTCACATGTACATCTTTATCGCCGTTATTCCGAATAGATTACGTGCCAAAAATGTGCTATGAATTTTCTAAACGTGACGAACCTGGAAGTACGTTACAAATAGCCCTCGTATTATTACCATACGTTCTGGTGGGTAGTTTCTGGGAGTGGCTCCCTGTCTGACACGGGCTGGTTTTGGTTTGAGGTTAGCGGGTTTTGATTTAGAGATTCCCATCCACCACTTGACAGCGCATTGCAACTGACAAGAACAAAATGAGTTTGCAAAATGGAAAGTGAACTCTCCCAGCTGTCTTCGAGAGATCTGAGCTCCTGGCCTTGCTCGGGCGGATGTCGGACAGGAGGCCTGGGGAGCAGGGCGGGGGCTCAGACACGGAGACGCTCAGGGCCGTGAGTGCCCCCCTTTCCTTAGGGAGAACTTTCGGGGGGTCATGCTTCAGAAAACCCTCCCCGCCCTCCTGCCTAGGAGTTTAGTTTTGGGATCATCGGTCTGGTTGTCAGTCTATCCATTGCAGACTCCATTATTAATATCTGTACATATATGTGAACCACGGCAGCCACAAGCATTTTACCACCAGAACATCCTGAGTTAGTTTTAAACACCCTTCCAGGGCCCCGGAGCAGCAGTCCCAGCTGCACGGCACCCCAGGACTTGTGACGCCCTCAGTGGGGCCCCACACGCCCTCCGTGCCTGCAGTTCACACGGCCCTCGGGGAGAACATGTGAAGTCAGTGAGCATCTTCCCTGGAGGGAGGGGAGGGTGCGACGCCCCCCGGAAAGCGGAACTGCAAGCCCCGATGTACGAATCCAGACGAGTGGTCTCGTTTACCACGGCAGCACCTTCGGGGGCTCTCTGACTTTCCAACCAGTTCTGCCGACACCAGATGAATGTTTACCTATTTTGGGGGTAGGGCTGATTTTTACTAGCGTGGAATATCTTGGTAGATTCTCCAGGCTCTTGTTTTTTCTTTTTCCTCAGTATCTTCTTTTTAAAAAAATATTTTAGCTTGCTAGTATTTTTTTTCAAAAGAGTAGGCACGTGAGACAATGGAGGTAATTAAAATGGAAAGGCCAGGAAGCTGAGGAGTCTTGAACCGGTGGAGTATCCACGTCTGACTTGGTCGGCCCCCTCCTTCCCACCGGCACAGGGGCTGCCAGGCTTGGTCTCGCGTCATAATCACCTGGGAACTTTTACAACTGCACCGGATGCCGGTGCAGACCAATTAAACCAGAACCTCCAGGGGCAGAACCTGGCCCTGTGCTAGGGACGCCCCTCAGCGCCATGCTCGAGTTCCCTCATTAGTAAAACTGGGGAGCGGGTCGAGGGTGCACCACAGACGCGCGGAATCCACGCACATCTCAGTGGCCCCAACCCTCAAGTGCCAGAAGAGAGCATCGCGAAGGCGGGTTGACACCTTGAAGGTAAAACCGCAGAAACAGCAATGCGTCGGAAACAGTCCCACGGTGACGCTCTAATCCTAACCATGAATGCGGAGTTCAGGGGTCGACGTTCTCCCCGTGGCCAGAATGTTCTGGACACGCCCATCGCACTCCCCCAGCAAAGGTGCCTAACCCACTGTGGTCCTCCACTCGATGAGTCGTGAGGTGCGTGGACTTGGCCGAGACCACTCCCATGGGTGTTGTTCTGCAGCTCCGTTTAGAGGAACCGGCTGGGACGTCGGAGAAGGAGGGGGCAGAGCTGAGGATGCACTTTACGGATGTGGAGCCAGCACCCCCTCGCACAGGATCCTTTGTTATGGGGGGGTTCTCCTCCCTAATCAAGCCCCTCCTACGCCACCTGCGATCCCAGTTTGCATTCCCTCTGCATGTGCCAGTGGAGGACAGAGGCGGTGCCTCGCTCAGACGTGCAAATCTGATGAAGACAACGGAGCACTCGCCCCAAGACCGTCATCCCCGGGCCTTCAGCCGGCGACCTATCAGCCACCTGGGAAGGTGATTCTCTTACCCCCATTTCACAGACGGAAGAGCAAGCTAACAAAGTGCCCGTCCCGAGCAGACACGGGCGGGCGAGGGGTGCTCCTCCCGGAGCGCCCTTCTTCCCCGAGGCCCCTCGCTGGCTGGGACCACGCCAGGACCTGCCTGGGTCACCACGCTTTCCATCCCGGAGCAGGGGCACGGACCCCGGGGGGCACAGTGGGATTTGCACCCAGAGTGCGTGAAAAACCAGCGGGAGCCTCGAGGAAGCTCCTGAGCAAGGTGAAAGCAAGTGCCTCCTGCAGACTGGGTTTCCCGATGCTACTGGCCCCTGGATTCCTAGAGCCTGGGGTGAAAAGGTCGCGCTGCGAGAGCAACGGAGAAAATTAGGATGAATGGGAGCCGGGGAGCAGCCTTCCGACGACCTCCTTCAGGAGCCTGCCGTTATTTTCTTTTTTATTTTTCAATTACCATTGACATTCAGTATTATTTCATCTAATTGGGCTTACTTTCCTCCTTCGGTAGTGTCCTCTGTGCTCATTGGATATAATTCAATCTCAAAATGTGAAATGTCTTGTTAAATGGACTCGCTTTGGAATTCCTAATTTATTTATTTGGATGGCTTGGTTGTCCACGGGTTGCACTCAGAGACCTCCACGAACAGTGCTGGCTGTGAGGGTCTGTCTATACCCTATATATTTACTATTTAGAGACCAGATAGTTTTCTGATTTAGTTACTGCATAAGAACATCATATAACTTCAAAAATTAAGCAATCACTTTATACATTAAGTATTTAAATTTGTTGCCAAAATCGTCTATTTTTTTCCCTTTGAATTAAACAAAGGGTAGTTAGTCTTCGGTTGGAAGTCTCCTGGTTAGTTCCCTAAATGTTACCCTTGCCGTTGGTAAATGTTTTTAGGGGATCAGAACGGGAAACTGAGAGGACGCTGGAAATCTCCGCTGCAGAGCGCGCTGGGGGCTCGGCGTGCGCACAGCGGCAGAGAAGCCCCGCGTTCGCACAGAGACGCCAAGGCACCACCCCAGGAATACGAGCACCTTAGTCTTGCGAAGGTGACAGCCAGAAATCTTCTGTTTTCTTCTTGACCCCCTGAGCTGGGATACAATGACGCGTGGTCATGGGGCTGGGAATCGGGTCGAAGAATGGCATGTTTTCAGTACCATTCCAGCCCCTCACCTTCGTGGACAAAGTTGCTCGCAGTCACAAAGTTACCTTACGGCGCATACTCGCGTCCTGCTGGCGCCGCCCGCTGGACCGCTGGTCCCCAGCCCTGCCCCCAGGATGGAGCCCTGGCTTCTTCTCCATGACGCCCTCCCACCACGGCCGTGGGGACAGCCCTTCCTCACTGCCTGCCACCACCTGTCGCATTAGACTGAGCTCCCGGAGGGCCGGCCCGGTCAGCAGTGGCCCTCTGATGACCATGCACTGAAAACATCTAAGACACATCTGTGAATCCCGTTCCTCTCTGGCTCTTTGTAAGCCTGCAGATGCCACTTTCCAAACACAGGTTTCTGGTTTATTCTCTGTGGTCACACACTCGGTCTTTCCAGGGCAACGGGGCAATTTATGGACCACGGGCTTTCCGATGGCGTGCCTGTCGGTCAGAACCAACTGCTCCCACCAAGGAAAACCGTGTGCATCTCTTCCAGCCTGTGTAGCCAAGGCAGAGGTGCCGCGTGTGACCCAGGTAAGTACTCTGGGAAGGTCACTCACCTGTATGGACCATCATTATAATGATTACGGTGGAAAGAGCAATGCTTGGGGGGGGCGGGAAATGGCGTGGGGCAGAACACCTGGACGTAAATGGGCTTGGAGATGAGTGCCCCCGAGAATGGTGGTCAGTTACAGACTTAAGCGACTTCAGACAGGTCACCTGCCATAACCTCAGTCTCCTCATGCGTAAAGTGGGCACAGCAATACCCACCCTGGCCACCTTGGAGGCTATTGCTGGGCCTACGTGAGATGCTTCCCCACCTTTCCCACGTCGTCCAAAAGGACAGCTTTTGATGAGCACCCTGGGGTAAAGGCAAAGGTTGTGACCACTCTGGACCCCCGCTGCCCTGCCTGAGTCTCCGACAGGCTGAGGGGGTTCATATCTTTGCACACTGGTACGCAGCGGGGAAGCTCAGCTGGGGAAGCGTTCCCAAAACAAGCCACTGTACGTCTAGACAAGGTCTTGCTCACACACACTCTCCCGTCCCCGTGGGGTGAAGGGGGAGCGGGTTCAGCTGCATGAAGTGCTGGAGCCCAGCCCAGCGGCCGGAGAGGGGCAGACCAGGTGGGAGACCCCACGGTCACAGCTGTGCCCCCCAGGGGGGAGAGTCTGTCTTGACCCTGTGCTTCCATCCTGCCTGACCCTCAAAGGCAAGTAATGCAGGAAAGTACCACCTAGCTAACGGCCACGGTGCTAATTCAAAGACGTGGACCATTTCATTGCCTTGGACTCTAGGCTGAGTCATTCAAAGCTGTAGGGAAGCTGGCAGAACTGATGTCCACCAGCCAACGGTTTTGGACACGTGTCTGTCTGGGTCCCTGACCACATCCACCTCCGAGCCTCTGTGTCTCCCAGTCCGGCAGGAAGGACCCTGGTCACGTGTGCCAGTGGGGGGTTACGGCGAGGTTACATAGCTGCCAGGAAGAACACAACCTCTCCGTGTGCGTAAGGCACTTTGAATAGGTACACTATGAGCATTATTCATTGCTATTGTTACTTTTCAAAACAAACCCTATCCATCACTCACAGGGCCAAAAACCAGTGACTCTGCTCTGAAGGGTTCCTTCACAGCTAAAGAGGCATCACCAGACCTCGGTGCTCATACCACGGGGCGGCAGCACCTGGGAGCTTTTAGAAACACAGCCCTTCACATCTAGGACGTAAATCTGCATTTCAAGCAGAACCCAGACTGGTGAGTGCGGGCCAGTTTGAGAACAGCCACCTCAAAGAACTCCACAGCTCATGCAGAAACCCCTGGGTCCCTTGTATTTTTGGCAGAAAAGCTGCAAAAGCAGTACCAGCTCAGGAAATCTCCACGTGATTGACGTATTCGGCCCTAATTGGGGCCCCAGAATGAGAGTTCTGGGCTGAGGGGGAGTGGTCTCCTGCCCCTCCCTGGTAGGAGGCAGTGGCTTCTGAATCAGATGAAACCTTTGTGCAGAGAGCCCATCAGCAGCGTGGGTCCCTGCTCTTGGGAAACCAGTAACGGTTACGGTTACGGTGGTCCGTTTCCGGGGTGGTAACAAACCGACACAAGGTTCCCACAAGGAGGAGACAGTGGGAGGAGACCCGCAGCCTGATGGAGGAGCACTGGCGCAGTGCAGGGAAGGGCGGAGCCACTTACGTTTACCCAGGGATGTTCCAGGACCTGCATGGCCGAGAACCGCGGCTCCACCTCCACCAGCAGCATCATGGTGATGAGCTCCTGCAAGAGGGGACGGAGGTTTGTCTCGCTTTTCAGGTCAAAATCTGGGCGTCGTCAAACGCAGACGCTCTGTTCCCCCTGGAAAAGCTCTTCCACTATCAACTCGGCTTACCCACCGCTACCTAACACCTTCCGCAGCGAAGGAAAGGTGAGCATTTGGAATTATGAATACACAGCTCGGAGTTGATGGGAAGAAGGTAAAGTTAATATTAAAATCAATTTAATAAAAATGGTTTTAGTAGAAAAGAAATAAATACACAAATTACAGGATTAAAATTCCTGTCTTTGTCTAGGATTTTTCACTTTAAAAAGCAGATTTCTAAATGAATTTAATATAAAAGTTATGTTTTAAAAACACTTCAGATTTTCATTTTGGGAGCTGACAGTAAAAAAATGTGTCTTTTCCCCTCTTGACTGCGAGGTGGCATATTTAAGTTTGGAACAAAGTTAGAATAAACACAGGACTGCCGACAGCTAGTTGTTACAGCAGAAACTATTTTTAGTAGCCAAAGAATTCTTAAGAAATCTGTTAAAATCACTTCAAAAATTCCCAGATCAGTCAACACACATAACATGGACCTGTTAAGCGGTAAATGACTTAATGGTTTTGAAACGAATAAAACGCTCCCTTGGGCTCGAATCGATTTGGACCAGGAGAGCCCAGCATGGGTCTGAACACTGCGTCTGCCATACATCTGTCCACTTCGTCACAAACTGGCTGGACAGGTGTGCTCCCGTCCCTCACAGTCATAGGCCCCGAGTGCCATTGTGATGGGGATGATTGATTTCTGCTGAAGGAAAGGTCTACCTTCACTTTCTCACTGGGCCAGGACGTATTAAAGTAACCACTGTGTGTGATGCTCTCTGCCAGGTGCCGTGGGGACAGTCCTGTCTGTCGGTGACGTCCAGACATTATGGAAAGGCTTGGACAGGCTCCCGCAGAGCCGCTCACGGGTGAATCACCCCCCGCCCCCACCGGCAGCTGAGTCCCGGCTCCTTCACCTGTGTGCCTCCCCCACGCTGCTCCCGACTCCCCGAGTTCTCCTCGGTCCAGGGGTAGGCTCACGCACAGTGAAGACTCTGAGAGACTTGGGCCCAAAATGCATCATTTTCTATGGAAAGTGGCCAGGCCTGAGAGTCCGATGTTAACCTGAACTCATACTCCAGATGCAGCAAAAGAAAAGTTACATATGCTGAATCATCGAGAGATAATCACTTTTCCACTTCAATGTTTCAGATTAAGTCAATGTTTGGAGACACAAGTTTAAGGCATCAACCAATTCCTACGTTATTTTTATCTCAGGATTTACTAATGTCTCAGAGTAAGATTTTAGGTTTTCTTTGAGGCTCTTTTAGTTCCGTGGAGCAAAACCGTATGCCGCCCTTCCTCTAAATCCTGGCTCTTTCGAAGTCCAAGTTAAGTCACAGATTCCCCATGATGTCTTGCTGAATAATTTCAACCCATGTTCAGTTCTCTCCACTTTGTTTAACTAACTGCCTAATCTGTCCATTCACCCACTCATTTATTTATGTATTCACTCCACAGGCCCTGAGGACCAGTTACGCACTGGTCACTATGTACAGTAATGAATGGGTATGCATAATGGTACAGTAATGAACAAAATAAGCAAAAATCTTTGTCTTGATGGAATTGGCATTCTGGTGGGAAGAGTGAGAAAATAAATCACATAAACAAAATGTATCCACCTATCAACATCTATCTAGATGAGCAGACAGATATGGAAAGGTAGTTAGCTGGTTAACTGGTATACCAGATGGACATGAGCGTGTAAGAGCTACGAAGAAACACAAAGTGGATGAGGAAAATAAAAGGAGCCGGTAGGGTTTTGGAGCTGTAATTGGGAACAAGCTGGTCTGAGAAAATTCACTGGGAAGACAAAATTAGGCCAAGACCTAGAAGGGCAGAAACAATGAGCTAAGCGGAAATCCAACGTGGGCTAAGGCCCAGTGGGGGTGGGGCTAGAGGCCGTGGCAAAGGGCGTGAGAACGGGGTGGGATGGAGTCAGGGAGGCGAGGCTCCTTGGGGAAGGTGGGAGGGTTAGGAACAGATCACCTGATGACTATGAATCTTAGAAAGAACTCGCAATTACAGCTACAGTGTGTAGAGCAACCACATTTACCATATCATTTAGTCTGGGCGCAAAGTCCAAATAATAATCCCATTAAGACACACAGGCTCTGAGGGACAGGGAGGGGCTGGAGACCTACCTTTGCAGAGTCAGAAACGTTGTCCCAGTAAGGAGAAGGGAAGTCCACCTGCCCCATCAAAATCTGGTCAAAAAGCACCTCCTGGTCATCACCACTTCTGTTTGGGTGGAGGACAACGGTAAGAAAGACACGGGACCAAACACCACCTCAGGGAATGTCCCATCACCCTTGGACACTGGAGACCTTCCCTTCCCCATCAATGGGTCAAATGATTTTTAGATTAGAATGAGTTTTTAGTTTACACGAACGAGCCACATGGAAGGCATGTAAATCAGCAGGCACAACATGGAGAAAGTAGTCGGCACAGTAACACTCTTATTATTGTCTTTTCCTGCTGCCGCCCCCTTAGTGCAGAAGGGGGGCTGGAGGGGGCTTCGCTGTGCTAAGGCACCGGGGGGACCACATACCCGCGGAACGGAGGGAAGCCGCACAGCAGGATGTAGGTGATCACGCCGGCTGCCCAGATGTCCACCTTGAGGCCGTACCTGGAAAAGCCAGGGACATCGGGGTTGGCAAGGTCAGGCTGGGACCACCTGTGGGGTGCGGCGAAGCAGCCGCTTCTGCTGTTCTAACTGGACGCGATGGAACACCTAACAATGAACACTAAACCGAACCCCGCCGGCCAGAGAGAACGCGAGGGGCGAGGGAGGAAGTGAGACTCTGGAAGGCGTGTGAACAGAAGTCAGAGCCAGGCCAGGCTGGGTCGTACGCAGGTATCAGCAAGTGAAGGGTTTCTGCCAAAAGGTTTATCACAGTCGAGTCAATTTTAAGATAGGGATGAACCCATGAGACTATCTCACTCCCTAATTTTAGAAATAATAATCACACATAGGACATTTTCCAATTTATAGAGCATTGACCTGTATTATCTTATTTTGTTTTCCCAAGTAAGTATTACTGCTTACTCTACAGAAGAGAAAACCGAGGTTTGGAGGGGTAAACAGTTTTGCTTGGCATCACGCAATTAGGCAGTGGCCACCAAGGCCTTCAAGGGCCGCCAGACCCTCTCTCTACCCCACAGCGCTCTGTCCCAGCAGGCCCCAGGCCCTGGAGAGAGGTCATGGCTACCAACCCGCTCTCCCCTCTCCCTCAAATTCGATGGGCAGGACGCTGCTCGTTCCCTCGCACGTCACCTGCGGGACCTCCCTACCAGGACTCCCTGACCATTTCCTCCGTGTTGCTGCCTCTCTGGCTGTGGTCCAAGTAGAAAGACTCTACAGCCGAGCCCGGCGGGCACACTCTGGACCAGCAGCTACAGCTCTGTGCGGCCGATGGAAGGGAAGAGCAGGTGGCAGTCCCGCACGGGCCGCTCTTCTGAACCCTTCTGTCGGCGGAGAGCACTGCAGACCCCGCCTGGGTGCTCGGTAAGAAATGGGGCTCTTTCTGGGAAGAGCATTTTGCTCACACAGCCCTGAGGTCAAAGGCCGACCCGCTGCCTGCAGCCATGAACTTACCTGATGTTCAATCAACAGAGTCTGAATTTATTCATCTGCCAAATGGGAGCGGGACCACCCACTGGGAGAGGGGGTCCCATGAAGGAGTCTAGGGCCTGGCGCCCAGCGGGTCCGCAGTGAGTGTCAGGCCTCCTGCCCCCCTCATTCAGGGGATTCTCGTTCCCGTGCTGCTCACAGAAGCCAGCAGACCGCCCTGCGATGCCTGAGGGCGTGGGCACCTCGCAGGTCAGCACCGGCGCCAAGTGGGCCGAACGGGGCCAGCGGACGGCCAGGCCCACCGAGCGACGGGACCGCGGGAGGCGGTGGTCTCCGCACACAGCGCCATCTGCTGCTCTCATCCCCATGGAGAACAGCTTTTACTCCGAACATTTTTAGTCTGAACAGTTTTTACTCTGGGCCTCATAACTGCTGTTCTATCTTCACCAAGGCTGGACAGAAGCCTTAAACGAGATCACAGTAACTAGCAGCTTTACTGGGAAAACAGAGAGGAAGGCTCCCAGTTTCAGGTAAAGAAAGAAAGAAAGAAAAAGACAGAGTTGAAGAGACCCCGTCACCCAGTCTGTCCGGTCCATGAGGCGGACCAGCGGGTTCTTCCTGGGGCACGGCCCATCCACGAGCACGCGGGAAGCGCTCACCCAGTCTCGGCGATGATTTCCGGAGCCACGTAGGTCGGGGTGCCGCAGACTGTGTACAGAGGACCGTCCACGATGGTGGCCAGGCCGAAGTCCCCCAGCTTCAGGGACTTGCTGCCGTCCTGGTGCTCGTACACCTGGGGTGAGGGACAACGGGGAAACTGCCTTCACCAGGAGCTCGGGGTGCATTCCGGGAGGAGCGAGGGCGCTGCGGCTCACACTCGCTGCGTTTACAGCAAAACCATCGGGCAGCTACGCAAGGATGCCCACACCAAGACACCCCTCTTTAGACCACTGCAGGACAAGAAGTGCGGCGCAGGATGAGCAGCTGGAAACCCACCGAATGAATGAGGGTAGGACAGCCGGGGGGAAGACCTGTGCTTGTTGAAATGCGTCCCGTTGGGAAGTGAGGACAGCAGGTTCCACGGTGGTTGGCAGTACACGTCTGTTAAAGGAAAAATGCGCACGGAGGAAAATGGGAGACCACGGCACGTCTGTCTCTCGGTAGTAGAATTACGGGAGCTCGCTTTTGCTTATTTTATCTGATGTTTCTACAATTAAAACTGATTTACGCAACACAATGAAATATAGAAGGTCTCTATGGCAGTATCCCCAATATCCAAAAATGATCACCGCTTTATTTTAATATAAGAAGCTTTAGCCTAGGCTGCTGTGGCTCAGTAGATTGAGTGCCGGCCTGCAAACCAAAGGCTCACCGGTTTGATTCCCAGTCAGGGCATATGCCTGGGTTGAAGGTCATGTCTCCAGTAGGGGGTGCATGAGAGACAACCACACATTAATGTTTCTCTCTCTTTTTCTCCCGTCCCCTCTCTAAAAATGAATAAATGAAATCTCTTTAAAAAATAAGCTTTAAAAATGAAATTCTTCAGTAATTGAACAGAAAAATCTACATATGTTAAAATATTTTTTAACAACAAGCAATTGAAAAGGATATTAGCATTTCAGTTCACCTGTGGCAATGTGGAAAGATTTATCACGTGCAGAGTCAGCACGCAGTCCAGGCTTCCTTATTAGGGCAGTGAAAGTCTCCGGCCCTTCACCCACCAAATTCAGAGAAGGATGCGTGTGGCCAGAGGCAAGGATTTCCCTGCTTTAGTTCTAGCCCAGCATCCAACCAAATGAACCTGCTCAGAAAGGTTTCCCAAACCACTTCTACTGTGTCAAAGAAAAGGTCAGAGGGCACCCAGAGTCCCGATTCAGGGCCCTCCACTGGAACCAACAAGACCAAGAAGAGAAGAGAACAGTGTGAGGCTGGTGTTCCCAGCGGAGGCAGCGGGGGCTGCCGGGAGACGGCGAGGCTCTCCAAGTACTGGGTTGGCCGAAAAATCCGTTACGTTCTTCCGTACGACAGCTCTGGCAGCGCTTAGTTGTCTTAGACTTCGTTCGACACAATTTTGCTAGACTGTATTGTGACAGCTGTCATATCAGTGTGCATTTTTAAAATTCTTATCAAAATGGGTGAATTCTTATGAGGCCATTTTAATACTGAAGAGGGAAGAAAATATGCAATATTTTCAGAGTATCATGCTTTATTATTTCCAGAAGGGTAAAAACACCAGTGAAACGCCAAAAAAGACTTGTGCAGTGTGTGGAGAAGGTGCTGTGACTGATCGAACGTGTCACAAGTGGTTTGTGGAGTTTCTTGTTGCTATAAACGCTTTGGCTAAATAACCCTTTGCCGTGGGGCTGCCTTCTGCATTGGAAGGTGCTGAGCGGTACCCCTGGCCCCTGTTCACCAGAAGCCAATGGTGGGAGACAGCCGACGGGCTCAAAATACTCAGATCAGTAAAGTGATGGGTGAAAATCAAAAATGTCTCTTTTTTTATGGGAAAAATGCAACGGACCTTTTGGCCAACCCAACATATCCGAGTCGTTCTTCCAACGGGGTGTGGCCCTGTGCTCCCTCCCTGGTGACCGCGCTGTGGTCAGGCCCACTTGCTACAGCCGTGGGAACCTCCTGCACCGCCGGCCCAGCTCTACACAGCAGGAGCCCCCTGCCATTCCCACACCGCGTCCGCCCGCCTCCGGAAGACTAGACAGACTTCTCACTGTGCGGCAGCCTCCGTGCAGATGTGTGGCCAGCTGAGCCACCACGTTCCAGGCCACCCCTTGGACTTAACTGTTCTGGCAGAGTCCGGCAGACCCTCCTCTCTGGAGAGGCTGCGCTTTTTCTGGGCAGAAAAACAGTCTTTTACTTTTCTCTGTGCTCCCCACTCGGAGCACAGAGTCTCTCCCTGGGGGCTGCCCTGCACTTGGGTTGTCAGGGTGGGGACAACACAAGTCCCTCACAGGCGTGGCTCTGCCCACCTGTATCTGGGAGGGACAGCGCCTCCTACTTGGACAAAGCAGCTGCCCGGTCCCGGTCAGCCCCGAGTCTGAGGGACGAACTCGACGGCATCAGAGCTGCAAAGTACGACGTCCCTGACTATCACCTTAGCCCGCCAGCCGCTCTGGTCACCCGACTAACAAGCCAGTGAGTCTCGTGAAAAGAAACCCAAGATAGAAACATCGAGCCGATCTTCATTAGGGTCATTTCCTAGAAGGAGCCTGACCGTTTACTCCCTTGATTCCAATTTGTTGCCGAAAACCTAACACACCAAGCAATTGCTTTCTCTGATGTTGTTGGGTCCCAACGCTCATAGTGGGTGTTTTTGCCAGATTGTGAAGGTGTCAATGCTCACACCTCTGTGTACACAGGACTCTTGGGGGCTTTCTGACCACCATGTCTATAATCCCCTAACTAACTAGATTCCGAAGCTGGACACAGGCAGGTGCTGGCCGCGCAGCCGTAAGTCCCACCTGAGTTCTAAATATAACCATGCAATTCTTGCACACAAAGCAAGGTTTTAATTTTGAACACCTACATTTTGATAGGAAGTCTGTCTTACATAAAGCCATATGCCGACTTTATTAATAGAGCTGAACAATAACTCAAAGTTTCCACAGTGAAGACAAGAAGCATGAAGAAACCTACCGGAAATAATGAAAATGAGGACTGCCTAAAAGTAACGTTTCTTAAGTCCACCAATACCACTGAAGTGAAGGACCTAGAACCTATCATTCTGACGTAGTTTTTCCTCTCTCTGACCATGTCCCCACGTCCCCCTTCGCTGCTTTGGAAACCGAGGGCAGAACTCTCAGGACGTCGAGAGGGCGCAGCGACAGTGACAAGAGACCATGCGAGCCGAGGGGTGAAGGCCCGAGCGTGTGGCTGAAACCGTCTGGACACAGAGCATCAGGAACGCTCCAGCCAAAATGTTTCCGCAGGTGAACAAACGTCCAGGCCTCCAGTTCGGAATTCTGTTCAACTCACTGACTTTTGGCAGGGCTGGAAACCGGGGGTGGGGGGGCTTTGGGCTTTTCTCTGTCAACCCATAGAGAGGAGGGTACAGAACAGCACACTCGGGGTCTCCTCCGCTCCGACGGGAGGGGCCCACTCACACCTGGGTGCACCCTCCTCCCTCCCCACGCCAGCCAAGGAGGGGCGCGAGGGAGGCCATCCGACAACGTAATTAAAACTGTGAAAATCACGGATGGCTCATCCATCTGCTTCAAACACACACGCATGCACACACGCACACTCACGAAATCATCTCCCGAAAGTCTCTTCCTAAATGGAAGCTATAAATCCACTTTGAACCAAGTTTTTAATTAAAGCATAGGAATCGGAAAAGCGTCTAACAAGTTCGCATTTAAAACGCCGAGCCCTTGGCTTATCGACCGCCCTGCCCCAGAACCGATCCTGCCTCGGGTCCTCTCTGTGTCCCCTCAGCCCGACCGTGATTCTGAAAGGACAGCAAAGGCCTGCCGCAGAGGCACGGGCACAGCAAGCGGCGCCCTGGCGTGAGGACTCTGGGCTGCTACTGCGCGTTAAGGCCTTCCTAAAACTCGGCCCCCACGCGAGGTGGGGGTGCACTAACTGTCCATCAAAGAGTCGCCACAGCACGAGCTGTGAGCTGACGTTCATCCGGGCCCTTCCCACACGGTGGATGTTCTCCCACGGCTTAGACTCCGAGGGGCCGTTAAGGAGAGGAGGATTAGTGCAAATTACCCAGTGTGCAGCGCTTGCCCTGGCTTCGCCAAGCAATAAAACGGTGTAATTGCACAGCCCTAATTGAATGCAGCCACACGCAACTGTGGGCCGCCGTACGCATCCTATTACCGTAAAGACCATCGGTGTTTTGTGAGCCGCTCTCGTGATCGCTGCAGATGGCGGCCATCGGAGGAGCCGTTCTCCAGGGTTTATTACATGGCTATAAAGACGTCCTGTGATTTGACAGACTAAACGTGTTAAATGGCCACAATTATGAAAAAGCGTCCAATTAGGCGCCGCAGGCATGGTCCGCCGGCCGCGGGTAGAGTGAGCGGTCGGGTGTCGGAGTTCTGGCACACTACACAAGGTTTTCCTTTCCTCAAGAAGCATTTTGTTTGTGCTTCCTTTTCCTTTACCTGGGGTTTTGCGGTAGCTGTAACTTACTGAACAGTAGATCTCTGGGCACACGTCTGATTTCCCACAGATTAGAAATGGACACCATTTGGAAAAGTTCTTTGAAAAACATGAAAGTGTCCATGCAAATCATAAAATGCAGCCCGCGGCCATAAAACAACAGGAAAGTTCACAGATAACCCGAACCCAGTCACAGGGTGTCTGTAATTCCCATAACAGAGACTCGGAGGTGCTAATGTAGCCGAGGTGTTGGGGACCCACAGTTCTCCATCTGGCTGGGAGTTCAAGGCTAACCCTGCTGAAATGCTGGCTAATGACTCATTAGGAGCCACTGAACTGTTTTTCACAGAGGAGCTCCGTAAGTACTAAAAATTATTTCACCAAACAAAATTGAGCAAAAGTGGGATGAAACCGACAAAGCTATGGGGGAAAAAACATGAATTTACTGTTTCACAAATTTGGTTCTTCTTTAACAAGACACTGGTTTTCTCCACCACAGCAGACAGCCTTGATGGTTCTAAGGGAAATGGGTTAAACATAAATCTTCAGTCTTTCAGAACTGAAATACAGGGCCCGGCAGAAGTAAGGCCATTGAGTGTGGCTGGTAGAGTACGTGAGCGTCTCACACAAGATGGACAGAGATCTGAACACATCAGCTAAAACATCACA